ATTTTTAATTAGAAAGTTTCTAAAGTTTAATTTCAAATTTGCATATACATTTATCTGCTGAAGTCTACAATAGAGTGATAAATAGGATAAAATTTGTCATGTGAAATAAAATGGGATAGCACAGGTTCCAGAAGGAAAAGGAATACTGCAAATTTCCAACTGTTTAAAAGGGCTTGCATTTATCTTTCTTTAATGAAAGAGAGTGAGGGTCAAATTGCTGTGGATTAGGTTTCATTGGCTACACTTGGAAGAATGAGAGAACATTTGAACTGAAATGTCAATATTTACAACACACCAGAAATTAAGTCCTTTAAATAATTATAATTTAAAATTCAGATATAAATTTTCAAATGTGTTAGGGGATGTGTCATTTTTTTAAATTACTTTAACTAGTATACAAGCAAGACATAGGCTATATTTTTTGAAATAATAATTTGAAGGCAGAAAGCTGCAGTAGAATATGAGAGACAAGGAAAATCTCCCCTCTTCTTGAAGTTTAGCATATACTGGGGGCAAAGAGAAGTTTTGTAAGGGTTAAAAGAAAAAAGTATATGAAAGCACCCAACTTGGAACCATCTCAGACCAGGGATCTGATACAACATAGTTTCCCTTATATTTAACTAAAGTCCCTTTGTTGCATTGAAATCACATGTTCTACTCTTTTATACAGGGGAAAAAATTACATTACTTTCATTAATATCTCTTCATAACCTAAAGAGAGTTAAATCACCTTTCCCGTTTCTCTTAAATTCTAAATAAACCATCAAATGATAATTTTTTTATAAGAAGAAGAAAGAAAGGAGAAGGGAAGGGAGAAAGGAAGAAAGGGAGAGAGGAAAAGAGGGAGATTTTAAACACTATAGCGCTGCTTTCCAAAACCAAGCAACTGGGATAACTTTTGTGTTGATTTAAGCACACATTTAGCCAAATGAATTTTCCATTGTCCCCACCTGTTTCCCAAATAATTTCAACTGTTTTGCCTTTGACCTGCTTTGGCCCAATCCCATATAAGTCTGTGCTCTCGGAATATCCACTTGTGGACTCCTCCACCGCAGGGTTGCCCTTAGCAGCAGCTGGGAAAACTCTTGGGGAACAGCTGGTGTCCAAGACCCCACAGCTCTGCCATCACCCAGAGTGTCAGTTTTCTGCAATCACAGGCTTTGGGGGACACATTTCTATAAAATAACACTTCACATTTGTGTAGCATTCTGCTGCTGATGGATAACTTTCACAATCATTATCTTGTTTGCCCTCACTTGGTCATGAGGAAAACCTGGCAGACTCTCTAACATCATAACGTATCCCAAGACTGCCAATGGGGGAAAAATTTTTAACTCTCAAGACCCCATTTCCTTACTACACAATGAGAAGCCCAGACTGGATGTCCCCTTAAAATGTATAATTGTGGGCAAATGCCTCAAACTCCATCTACTGCTGAATCTACCTGCATGAAACCCAAATTGTGCCTTCCTCACGCTACTTACTGCTTACCCATCCAAAGGACAACTAAAACAACAAACACGAAAACCAAAGAAGCTGTTGCATTTAAATCTTCCAAACAAACCTAGTAAAAGAGGTGACTGGGTTATTATTACCTCTGGATTTTAGAAGAGGACATTAAGGTGAGAATCAACAACTTCTGGCAATTACGCAGCAATTGCAAATCCTGCCTTCTAGTTCAAGAAAACTAAACCATCTTGCAAACAAAAAAGTTAACAAAAGTTAACTTCTGACACTATCTTCATGGGTATCCAGCTCCACAACACTGACAGCTGTCAACCATTTGGTTAGAGGCAGGATAATCAACTAGGGCACATGATACTTGAGTTTATCTCTGGTCTACACAAGCCAGTTCGTGGAGCCATACATGTATCTACATCAAACTTGACATTTTGAGCACATTTTCAAATTGCTAATTCCTTAAAAGCAGAGATGGTGTCTAAATTGACGCCTTCACCTCTAAGGGGCTCTGCCCTGTTTGTGCCCTGCAAATACTTGTTGATTTGTTTCTACTGTATTGGGGTGGGTCTCTCCTTGACAACTGGGGGCCACATTTAGCCAAGCAGCTGCCCACTGGCATCTAAAGCCTGCAACATGTAGTTCTGGCAGCATCTGAAAGGATTTATTATTACCATCCCATGATTTCAGTATTATTACTATCACCCTTATGAAAGTCAGTGGCTGAACCCACTATAAAGCATTAAAACTGTTTTTATAATGGAACAGTCTATTTTCTGCATTCCCCCATTCCCACAGTTATGGGGTTTTTTCACCCAGTTTCTGCTCACTATTGTAGGACTCTAAGAGATGGCCTGCAGCCACAAATAAAACAGCCTGAATACTCCCTTCACTATTATCACCCTGTCCCAGTGGTGGCCTTGGGGAAGAGAAGGCTCTTCAAGAGGCTCATGACCAAACAGGAGGCAATCATGATGCCTGTGTGTAATACAAAGCACACTTAACTAGGAGTCAGGAGATGCTGGTTCTGTGACTAAGGGCAAGACTCATTGCTAAACTGGGCTTTGGTTTCCTAACATACTAAGTGAGTAAGTAATTAAGTAAGATTGTCCTGAAGAATTCTTCTTGCTCAGGCCAGCTCTAATTTAACCTTTTTTCCTGGCTTCTGGAGATTTCCACAGGGAAGATCATCTCACTGGGAAAGATCTCAGGAAGAGACCCCACTCCTCACTTTCACTCCCAAACATTGCATCATTTTAAAATCAACCTGATTTACATAAGAATTTAGAGAACACAAAAGTAGTTCTTTATCAGGAAGTCAAAATTTCTGACCTAAAATGTGCTGAGGTGAAAAAATATTTAATGAGGAATCCTAAGGCTTGAATTTGATCCCGTATTTTTCAATAGATGACCTCATCTGTTTCCATGTGGCCCTCAGCAAGTCCGCTCATTGCTGTGTATCTCTAATTCTTCATCTTCCAAATTTGAATATCAGTACCTTTGGCTTACTCACTCAAAATAGTGCATGAAACTCATAAGAATTTGTGACTTGAAAACCTAAAGTATAATCCTATATATAGATAAATTATTAAATTAACATCAGTTCCCTCTTTTGAACAGAGAAAAATCTCAGAAGAACTAAAGGCTTGACACAATATTCAGAAGATGTTTATCCTCCTATTAGTAATGTGCCTGTTGGGTTTGTATTTTGTATTCTGTTGCAGAGTTTTAGTCTTTTAGGGACCCTTTTGATCCAATCTGATTTTAACAACCATTCATTGGGAGGCCACTGTGTCCTCATATTGTGCTGCAAACAAGAGAATAAATCAAAATAAGTATAAACTTTACCTCCAGAAGTTAACAGTGTTGTGAATTCTAGACTTACATAAAAAGAAATTATTTTTTAAAAATTTAAACAGGATAAAGACATGTTAAGGTGTATCTAGACCCATTAAAAATGCACAATCGAGTCAAGGTGGAATAAAGCTTTCAGTAAGTGTAAAAAGTGATGTTGAGTAGACTTTCAGGCCAACTATGTGAGGGAGACAGAATCGGTGATGGACTGTGAATGAGTGGGGCTAGCAGTTTTCTACATTTATAACAGCAGACCTTCAGTAACACATGCCAGAAAAAAATAATAATAAAAAGACTTAATATTCTGAGGATTGGAGAGAAATGTCTATTTCTCTCTGAATATTCAATAGCAACAAATTTCATGCCATGATTATTCCAGTATTAATTATAAAACCATCCAAATTCATATGCATTTACAGAAACTATATGAAAACAGAATAGCACTACTCTTTTTAAATATAAGTGCGTAGTCTAAAGGAACTCTTTAAAAAATTGTCATCTCCTACCATGAGTATACTTTCCCAGAATGGCTGGCTCTTTATGCTCGAGGCCTTCCCCAGGCTGACCCCTTCACAAAGGTTGGATCTAGCCACAGGTTAATCAGTATTTCCTGATCACACTCTGCTCATTTCTGCCTCTATGTCTTTGCTCAAGCTGTTCCCACATCTGAGAAAGCCCTTCCCTCCCTCTCTCTCT